CTACAGGAGGTAAGGATACGCACCGTATGGCATAGGGCAGGGCAGGAGAAGGGCAGGGGGAAGACTGGCTTTACCTGCCACAGAGTCACCAATGAAATTCTTCAATCCTTTTCCTAGGTACAGCAACACATTAGACCTCTGGGGATTTCTTTTGTTTTTATCCAGCTGCTGATTTTCAAGAAGGGTAGAAAAAATTAATTACACTTGAATCTTTGATTAGCTAATTTCAATGGACAAAAGGGTAGAAATTATTAGTAGAAAGAGAAAGCATGATCATTTTAAATACCATCTCTGTAGAAAATGAAGCTAAGTAGCTGCAAAGTAACACTTCAAGTCACTGGTTTCTTTGTTGTTGTTGTTGTTGTTTTGGGTTAAAAACTCACTGTTTTGTTCAGTCTTACAATTTCCATCTTTTGAAAACTTCGTTCTTTAAAATAGCCCTGACAAAAACCAAGCAAACAACCAACCAAACAAACAAATGGTCCTTTGCTTGCAGGGACATGGAGAGAGAAAACAGGCATCAAGGTGAAGTTTATTTTCTTTGTTATGAAGTTGAAGCAGCCAGACCTGTCAATCAAATTACTAGCCAAATCCTCATTTTTTTCCCCGAATCTTTTAATTTACTGTAAACTAGTTCAGTTGCAATGTTTTATTCAACCCAAAAGCAGAATGGTCTATTCTCCACATTTGTTTTTAGTAAAAGCAGAGAACTTGCTCCACAAACCTGACAATGGCCTTTCCCCAAAGGTTCCCAGTGCCCAACAGGACTCTAGTACACCTGGCTTCACTTCCTCATACCAAGTGATTTAAATAATGGTGGGAGGTCTTGCTTCAAATCCTTTTAGATGAATAACCTTAAGATGTGGGTGAGGTATAGCTCCTCAATATCACATGTGAGATGGGTAACTTCATCTAACTATTCATCCAGCTATTCTTGGAAGCAGCAAAAGCAGGCTGGCCAGCTTTCCATATGGTATGGCTTTACCCTACAGTTTTCATTTACAAAAAAATGATTACCCTGACTAAAGGCTGCTCACACTCCAAGATAGAGACAACCTTAATAAAGGACTCAGAAGAGTAAAGCATAACAATGAAAGAAATTTGCCAATTAATCAGTATATATATAATTTAATAGTCAACAAAGCATTCTATTTGATGACTTACAAATATCTAGTTTTAGATGTTGAAGATGCCACAGTACTCTCTAGTTGTGGATAAATTTGCAGAACTTGTTTTTCATATATCTTGTCAGTTTGGACTGGTACTACTACGAATTCCAAAGAGCTTCTCTATTCCCACAAAATATAATGAAAACTGAATCATAACCAAGAAAAAAGCTACAGCAGCATTCATTTTAAAAAAGTAAACTATTCACAGATATTTACCAGGCAAACAGATTTTGAGATGGCATTCACAATGCTTTTAGAATATGGATGGACAGAATATTTTATTTTCAGATGCAGAAGATGCCAGCCTGACAGCCACTGGATCATTTGCTTCCATAAGCAAAATCTGTATCACAATGCATTGTCTTAATATGGCCAGAATTGCTTCAGCAAATGCTTTCAGTATTTGCAGGTTAACATTCTTAAATCCATGGGCAGCAGAGACATTTGTCAAGCAGAGCCTTGTATGCTTTCCCATGCTACATCATCAGTATTTGACTATGTCAATTCAACACATGGTCTTAATAAGTCCTGAAAGCAGTTTGATAATCCAGGGAAACTAAGCAAATCTTCTACCAGGCATGTATTTCTGTGATACAAGAGCTAGGAAGTGAAGTACTGTTAAAATACCAGGCCTTTCATTCTGGACAGGCAAAATGGGCAGAAGACCACATTTTGATAAGCACTTACATGGAGATCATGAAAGGGAAAACAGCAATGAATACATCACAGGCCTGATGTAAGAACAGAACGGCTGTGTGTTGGTGTTTAGTGCAACTCATACTGAATTTGCAGAGGTTGATTCTACAGACTCTCCAGACCAACTTCTTCAAAGCACTTCAAGTTGTATATAATTTTCAACAAGAATTATCACACTAGAAGGAACTATCAGACAAAAGTCAGACATGTTCATACGCTGCCATGTGGTTTATGAAATCAGTAACAACTGCAAGAACACCTTTTTAAACTGGAAGGAATTTTTAAGCTTTTTGAAATTGTTGATGCACAATGAGGGAAATGAAAATGTGTCACTCCATTCAGAAGCACAGGATTCTGTGACAACCCATTTCTATTTGCACTGATGGATGAACTCCAGTGCGTCAAAACCAGTAACAACTTTTACATCTGCTGAAGTGTCATCTTGATCTGCCTTACTATCAAAGTACTCACTGAGGTCTTGCTGTCTAAGCTTTCATAGAATAAAGTTCTCAAGGAACTAGAATCTGAGAAGAAGAAGTTTAGACTGTGGCCCTGATTACATAAAAAGGCCATACTACTCATTTTTAAGCATGAGTTCTAAAAGATTTGTTAAAATGGTGAAAGTCCTGCTTGTAGTAACCCTCATAATACCAAGATGTGCGTAGGGTTTCATCAGTTTGGACACAGCTTAATCAGAAATGAGAACTTTCCTGACAGATAGGGCATCTGCCTTAAAACAAAAAAGCCCAAACCAAACCAAAGTATATTCAAACTATTAAAAAAAAAAAAAAAAAAGTAGACACTGTTGAAAAATACTGCAGCTAATAAAAAAAAAATAACTTTGAATCAAGATGATGCAGCAATATAACAGAACAGTTATTGGATGTAGGCGCACACTCTTGCACTTTACACTTGGTAGGACATATTTGGTTCTTCGGAAGCTGTAGGAGAAAATGAGCTGAAGAGAAAGTTTTCTGAAGACTTCAGGGTTTGTTTGCTTTCAGTCTAGCATAAACATGAGAGGAGTTAAGAGCCTGAGAATCCAAGTCTGACAAGCTTGCAAGGTTTATGTTTCCAAAGATAGCTTTAACTTCTTCCTCTTCCTACTGTCATGTAATAATCCTAGAACAATGATATTATTAAGGTTAAGGGGGCAAACATCCAAGACTGATACCTTCTATGACTCAATAAAAGGCACATGCCGGCAGTCTTGAGCAGTTGAGCAACAGAGATTATTGAATCACCTAGAGCATAACAAAAAGTGCTTACTTATTTACAGCCATTTAAAAGAGAAAGAGCTTGAGTTCCTGACAAAGAACTGAGACTGATATCTTCTTTACTGGAATCTTACTGCAAAGATCATGCGGCATTAACTCTGCCCTGTGACTCTATGCACTGCAATGAAACCTTAGCCTACTGCTTTTTAAAAGTGTGCTTAGTATGGTGTATTTTAGGCTATTCTTCCCTGAAATAATTCCACATGTATCCAAATATTTTCTAATCTTAATAGAAAAAAATTGAATCAAACACCACCTTTACTCAAGTTACAAAAGAACTATAAAACTTGGTCTTTTTTTCTAGTCTTGAAATAGCCCAAAATTGCTTCTGTGACTGCCTCTTCAGTAAGGAAGTTGCCTCAATCTTCAGATTAAACATTAAAAAACGTTAAATAAAATGAGAAAATAGAGAGGGATGACCACCCCCTAACAATACTCAAGGGCACTGAGCAAACTGTGGGAGTAAAGGGGCAGACAGTGCTGCACATGAAGACAAAGGGTCAGGCAGCATAAAATCCGCCTTCTCCATGGAGTTTTCTCAGCATTCTCAGCCCACATTCATCCCACTTCCAGAGGACATGGTGACATTCAGGGTAGTAGGTTAAAGCCGTGTGTTTAGCCAGGCTTCAGAAACCCTATAATGTTTTCAAGTACAAAAGAAGGACTGGGCTTGCTGACTGACATTTTCACACAGGTTTTTCTCCCAGCCAAAATGAAAAGTGATGTCTTTTTTTCCTAAATATCAGCTGACAGCAAAATATGATGAGTTACTGAGTTTAATGAAAAACCTCTTACATTGAGCACAATGGAAAATTTATGAACTTGCAGCTACTTGTGCTAAACCAAACAGGTGCACGGGTATTTTAAATAGTTAAGATCTTCTGAGGCTAAAAGCAAGACCTTTGAATTTGTGTAAACTTACTTAAAGCTGCAATTCACAGAATTAACAGTAAGAGAAATCCACATTCCATTGCTATGGCAGCCTAATGCCTTTTTTTCCTTTACAAAAGACTTTGTGACTTTTCTGCTAGAAAAAAGTTTACATTACAGGAAGGAAAGAATCGCTCTAGCCAATCACAGCACAGTGCTGTCAGTAACAAAGAAGTTATCAGCCTTTAAAAAGTTGCCCGCAGAACTGGTTATAAAAAACATTCCTCCACTTAAGAAGGAACCCCTCAGATTTAAGAATTCTGATTACATTTGTTAATAAAAGTTGCTAAACCACTGGAACATGAAGCTTGATCATCACGCCCAGCCTGCCACTGTTGCAAGTAAACCTACCGATGGTACAGGCCAAGAAACACTTCCCAGTGTTCTAAGAAAATTAAGGCTTGTTTTAAAACTACTGGCTAACACCAGGAAAAATAGGGAGCAAGGGATGTTAACGGCATATAAAGCAACTGAGACCCTTGACTTTTCACTCAGTTATTTACTAAAGAAACAAATTTCATATACTGAGGATATAACAGCTGATCTGAAAAGGAATAAGAAGCTGGTCAACCAACGATTAAGGAGCTTTGCAAAGACTTAAAAAGGTGATGAAATTCATGCTCCACTGAAGTTCTGACCATTGACTTGAACTACAGCCTCCCACACTGTAAGAGACCTAGCTGGGTGATTATTCTGAGATGAGTCTTCTGAGTTTGCCCTCCTAAAGCTGTTCCACTTGAAGAGTGAAGTACCCACAGTCATGAGCTGGTCAGTGGAACCCAAGTTCCAACCTTCTATTTGAATTCTATCTTTCAAATGAGGAATGCTGGGTTTTTCTCCTGAAAGGCAAAGTACACTTTGAAAGAAAAAAAACCAAACCAACCAGACAACCCTAAAAACAAAACACCAAACCAATCCAACAAACAGACTTGCCAGGTGTCTCAGTTTCTTACCACAGCAGAATGGGAGAGTGGATAATTTCTTTGGTAGGAGGCTGGAGAGAGCTGGTAACAATGGGTTTTGATAGAAAATAAGGAAAAAAGATTAACAGCATTGAGCATTGATATGACAGATTCAAACAGTTGTAGAAGTTTATGGGAGAAAGTATTTTTATATTAGACTCTAAAATCTACAGAGGCTCTTTTTAAATTCATTTTTGTTTTCCTACCCAGGGGGTTGTATCATCAGATAGCTACAACAAGGACTATTACGTTGCTTAATGTCAGCTTTAAGTGGACAAACATTACCCAAATATAATTACCTCTCAAAGCAGCCAATATTCACAATATTTTTTAAGTAGAGGTATACACAAAAATAATTATAAATCAAGCATTAATTTTATTCTTTAAGAAATTGAAAACATTTGCAGATACAACACTTTTATTTCCAACTGCATTTATTGGAGAAATTAAAAATAGGAAGCTAACTCTATCCTTGGGTAGACTTCTCCCTTGCTGGCATACAAAAACTTAATTTACACTTCCTTGTGCCAGTATGAAAGGAACAATATGATCTATTCATACGCTCTAATGGGTTATAAATTAGTACAACCATTGAGGGAAAGAACCAGCTGTGGGTCTAATTGTAGACGGCACAATGAAACAGGAGGGGATAACACAAGGCGTAAGTCTAAGATATGAGATAGAAACTAGCAATTAAAATATTTCACTATATTGTACAGAAATGTAACAATTTCTCATCAAATACTTGTTTCAGCCTCAGATACAATGCAACAATAGAATTTAGAGAACAATTTAAAAAAACATATATTGGAAATTACAGAAAAGCAAAGACTTTCAAGCACTTCTGTTTACACTTTTGCATAATACATAAGAAAGAGGAAATGCTTTTATTATTCAACACAGAATTAAGCTGTGAAAGTCAACAACCCATGACTTTGTTAAGCTTACAAGGACTCAGTACAAAACCAGATATTTACACAGAAAAGGAAATATTTAATGCATTTACATTGGTCATTTATCAAAATCTGAAATGCCTTTGTCTTCAGACAATCTCTATTTATATGAATTTAGAAGCCAACATGTGGTACATGCAGTCTATCACAAGACATTCTGCTACTGTAGCTTTACTCTTTTTGCTGCGGCATCCTGTACAGGATCCTGGCTGAGGTTGGCAAGCACAGTAGATTGGTCTGTCGTATGCATTTGCCTGCATGTAACCAAACAAGTTTTTATTGACACAGATTAAAACAATCTTATTCTGACAGAAATACAGTACTGCTCTAGACTCTCCTTTTAGAGCTACAAAATAAAGAACAGCATCTGATTAACAGCAAGAAAACTAAAAAACAGGAACACTTATGCATCCATTGGCCATACAATAATTTCATTTTTGAAATCACAAATAAGAGATATTTTCAGTTTATTTACTCTATTACCTTCTAAGTTATTTTCCCTATTATTGTGGTGCTACAATCAGCTAAACCAGGATTCTTCTGAACACACACATAAAAAAATTGTACTCTCTTTCCTCAAACTACTTCCAGTTTGAAGTTAGGATACAACAAATAAGTGAGACAAGTTTTCAGACGGTGAGAAAACCTGCAACAAGAAGGGGCAGCAGCATGTGTGTTAAAGACCTCTCTTTGAGCTCACCCTTTTCCCAACATCAGCCAGCTTTTTACTTCTCCTAGAAAAGCAGACCAAGCATGCTTTAAGGTACACCCAGTCCTTCCACACCTGGGAGGGCAGAAGGATGCCTGGGGTGTAGAAAAAGGAAGAAGTCATAAAGAGAAGTAGACATTTGTGGTTTTTAGAAAGAAAAGGTTAAACAGGTGTAGTGTGATTTCTTACCTCCTTCCATAAGAGATGAGATAGTTAAGAACACCAGTAAAAAGACCAAAGCTGTGAAAAACAGCTGAAGGTTGTGTTCCCTGAGCTCCACAGGTGCTGAGGGGAGAGCAGAAATACTGAACATTAGAAGAATGGGAGTAACAGAAATAACTAATTTTCATTCTTCAAAGATTAAGTCAGGAATAGAAATTAAAAAAAAGAATTTTTAAATGGATACCATGCTGAAAGATACAGCTAAAACTCTACTGGTATGGCAGACACACCTCATTTCATGCATGTATTGATGAAAAAAAAAACCACCACAAAACAGCAAAAAAAAAAACCCAGCAAAACCAAAGCTGAAACCCAATGTATCTGTCTTGGAACATCATAAGAATTCTGAATACTGAACATATGAGAAGGAGGCTTTCCTAAGCCATGAGGCATTTCTTTATGACTCAAACACCTTCTTGTCTAACTACAACTGTCTGTATCCTACTACAAATGCCTGAGGGGAAACTTAGAGGCTAGAACATCAAGTGCCTACACCCAGTCTAACATGTTCCCTATATCCAATGAACTTGAGTTGGTAGCTTGTCATAAACACTCTGCTTCAGCAGACAGGAACAGCAAACAGATTCCATTACAAAAAGAAGTCAGCCCTTTAAAAGCAAACACAGAAAGTGTAACTTACCACTATCCAGACATAGCTGGCCCTCAGCAAAAACCTTTTAACACCAGAACAAAAAGCTGATCTAAAAATCAGAGAAGAAATATCCTCTGTACCTCATGAGAAGGGAATGATGGAATTTTCACTTCAGGTCTATCAGTTGTAAATGCATAGAGACCAACTGATTCCCACTTGGGATACCCCTTGGGAATATATCCATGAGATATTAAATTAAAACTGGTGTGGGTCAGTGCTGCCCAACAGGGGAGCAGCTACTGAGTGAGATTTCCCTGCCCGATCCATGATTTTCAGGAAATGAGTTTCTATTTAGAAAAATATCCTTTGTGTTCTTCTAGGAGGTTGACATTTTTTCTGAATCATTCAGTCTAACTGGAGCCAGGATCCACACCCATCAGAGGCTTGCAAAACCCAGAAGACACCAGATATAATTTATCTAATAGGGGCCCTCAGATCCCACTTCCTGCAATTTTATACATTTTTTTAGTACTGAAAGAATGAAGGCACAGAAAGGTAAACAATAGCCTATGTAGCCAAACCAAATGGGATGTTTCCTAAGGTTCCTACTGCTGGAATTCAGTAACAGATAAAGCACATGATGCAAACACCAACCTAATCAATCACAAATCTCTTTTTTTGCCTTTTAATCATCTCTGGATCAATTAGATCTACTACTCCCACATACCATGACTTTGATTAAATTTATTCTAAACCAGCAGTTTCAACCCTGTTAACTGAACACTGCATTACCAAATGAAAAACACTGCCTTTATACTTAATCTGTTGTTCTCATTACACTTTTGTCATCGTTGTTTTGATCATTAACTGTATCACTAGAAGAGGCTTAATAATTATTCATTGCTTCTAGAAGACTTAGCAGAAAATTCTTCCTTATTCCTCAGGTATACTGGAAAAAAATACAAATCTTTTTATACCATTACCTGTTGAAAGCTTTTAATGTAAGAGATACTTGCAGTTTTAATGGAGCCTCCCAGAAAGCACTGCAACAAGTACAGCAGTGAGATTAACAACTCAATAGAGCAACTGGATGTTTAGGTTGACTGATCATAGCATGAGAACCCATCCGTACTGGAAACCAGCCTCTTGCCAGAGCTAGTCTCTAACAAAATGCAACAAGACATATGCTACTGTTTCGCAGAAAAACTCCCCAAAGCAAGATCCGTATTTATCATATTGTGCTCAAATTTAACACAGTTCCTCACTGCATCTGCTGGTAACTTATTACACATTAAATACTTCTGGTAATTCATATTATGCATTCAAGTATGAAAATATTCCTTCTGTCCCTTTATAAAAAGTTTTAAAGTATCAGGAAGACCTTTCTAAGGTGTTTTTTATATATAGGAAGTCAGGTATTTTAAAGTCTATTTTAATGTTGTGGTTGAAATGGGGTTTTTTGCACTTGTATAGTTATATTGGTAAAATAAAATTAGTGTAATAAATTGGGAAACTGAATCTTCTATTAGCGAACAAATTAAAGAATACCTGTTTGACAGTATTGAGCTACATGCTTCCTCCACATTTACAAAACAATCATCGCTGCAGCAAAACTTGAATGTCTAACAATTTCACCCACAAAATGTTACACATAATATATTACATTTGAACATACATCACCCGTTGCCATTGAAATTGGCAGATACAGGTTCCAATTTGCAAGCTCATGAATACCTATTTTTTTCAATTCTTTCCAGATGAGACATCTTTGTGACTAGATAGGAAAAAAACATATTAAAACCTTTCAGATATAAGAAAAGGAATAGACAACAAAGGTGCTTGTTTGTTCACTACTACAAACAGGAACAGTATTTTATAGGACGATAAACTTAAGAGTCATGCCCAAAGTTTCAGAACCAATAAATCTGTAATGCAAGCAAAATGATCTTCATAAAGAGGAGAAAGTGTGTGAAATTATACATAAAAAAATACACAAGACAAAAGACATCATATAAGTGATGTGAAATAATACAATGTGAAATAAGACAAGATTGAAACACCAAGTTTCCAAGAAGGAAAAGAGATAGATAACTAAGGGCACAAATAGGAAGCATGAATACTCCAGTAGTTCTGTGGAAAATACTCTGGGAATTCAGATTGTATAATTCAACAAGTGCGGGTAAAATGCAAATGGAGTTGTGAAATGTATTGAAAGAAGTGGGGTATATAGACCATATAAGGTAGTTTCCCTGTGGGTTTAGCACCAGGGTTACAGTTTATTGGGCGGTACAATACATGAAAGACATTGTGGCCTAGAAGAAGACCTAAAAAGTGATGCACTTATTTTCTTTATCCTATAAGACATAAATCTTCAAATACATTTAAAATGACAGTTAATGCTCCTATCTACCAAAGACAAAAACAACAGTAACTTGTAATAGAGAGGATGAGAAAAGCACTCCTAAGGGTAAGGAAGTGCTGCAGGTCTTCCTCTCAAGAAAAGTTACTCAAAATATCTGTCAATAAAGTTACAAGTGTATTGCATTTTGTTTCAGTGCAAGGGTTGGGCTAGATGGCTTCTTGAGGTCTATTACACAAAGTTAATATCACATTTTGAGAATTATTCTTCCCTTCAGTGTCAGTTATGATATTGTGTCAAGTGTATGAACCCATCCTCACATAAAGTCTTGTTACAAGCTTCAAGAAAAAATGATGCAATCCCATTCTTACCCCGGCACAAATCCAGAAATTGCATGCATGCATCCATCAGAGCACAGATTTAGTCCACCACATCTCAATTTACTGCCTTCATGTATCCCATTTACCGAATTAATGACACAATGCACTCTCAACAGGAAATTCTTTGTTCTTACCCTGACACTGGATTCACTACGCCACCTTTTGTTCCACAGATCTGGAGAAGAGTTAGAAGCAAAGTACCTTGGTACCAATCCAGGATAGATGAAAGTCACGTTGACTGGTCTAAATAAGCATGCAAAAGGGGAGTGGTAATGGCATATTCTGTGAATACATACATGCTCAATATCTATTCTTAAGCATTATGGTCCCTGTTTTATCTGGGCTCTGCCTTTCTGAAATTGTCAGTTAACAGCCATCACATAGAATCAACTAGGCTGGAAAAGACCTTTAGACATGAAATGCCTCTTTGCTGCTCACTGTGATGCAGTCTTTTCCACACCATGACTGGCAGCTTTTAATCTCAAAGCTGTAGCACTAGAATGTGTTACAAAATTATCATCAGATGTCAAGATCAAGTAAAACAAAAGACTAGTTTGTTAACACATAAAATAAAAAGGCCTGAATAACAAGTAGATGTTAAACAGAAGTCATATTTACACACCAAAGTAGGAACAATGGAAGCAGGAAAAAAAATGATAAATTAATTCTAAATTATTTGAAAGCATAAACATGTTTAAAACTGTTTCCAGATGTAACAGAGAAATCAAATTCCTTTTTTCTAGGCTTTCTTCAAGCCTAAAGGCTTAAAGGGTGTCGTGGTTTAAAGCCACAAAGCTCGTTCACTCACTCCCCACCCCCCCTTCCTCCCTCTTTCTTTCCTCCCCCTGCCTGTCCCCACTCCTGGAGGGATGGGGAGGAGAGTCAAAAGAATGTAACTCCCACAGGTTGAGATGAGAACAGTCCACTGACTAAGGTTTGTGTTATACAAAACTGCTATCACCAACGATAATAAGAGAAAAATAACAAGGGAAGAGAATACAATACCACTTGCCGAAATGAGCCTGACGGCCCAACAGAGCCCCAGCCCTTCCGGGTAACTCCCAGTTACCTCCCTGGGCATGACGTGCTGTGGTATGGAATACCTCTTTGGCTAGTTTGGGTCAGGTGTTCTGTCTCTGCTTCCTCCCTCATAGACTCACAAAGTCCTTGGTCAGAGTAAACATGACTTAGCAACAACTAAAAACATCGGTGTTATCAGCTCTATTCCCAGGCTGAAAGTCAAAACACTGCACCAGCTACTAAGAAGGAGAAAAACTAACAGATACTGCTAAACCCAGGACAAAGGGTCATGTTAATTCCTTCCTTAAAAAAATCGGTTTATTTTAGCAAACATTGCTGCCTGCTTTTGTAAATACTCTCCCTATGCTGTTTAGGTGATGCAGATGGGCTTAGATGAGGTCTGGATGTCATTATTTTACACTATTCTGAAAATGTTTTTCCAGCATGTATTCTTGGTATAGGACATCAAATATCCATATAGAAAATTACAAACTCAAACTTACTAGGATCAAAAAGAGTTTGAAAGTATATTTAATAGTCCCGAATGGGGTCAAAGCTTATAGAACAGCACTTTCCTGTACTGGACACCTAAACCAACACACACTGTGTAATTTCAAGAGTTAGTTTTAGCACTAGCCCAAGAACATATGAGGTCCAATGACATTTTCTTTCCTGGTATGTCTTCCCCTATCTCTCAGCAGGTATACTGATGGGTTTAGACCACTGTACAGAGGAACACACATCTAGGAACATGTAACAGACTACCATCCTCCACTGTTTTTTTAAACAAACATCTGGCAGGATAAAAAAAAAAACAGCAGAAATCTCATGAGCTGCTCTAAATGAAAGAGTGTAATATACTGTAATGTTATGATGATGAGAAAATAGCATAGTTATATTACAAATATGGAAACTAAATTTTGTTATCTCTTGGAATTGGAGTTCTCACTACAGCTGTGCCAACTACTGCCATCTCCATGGCTGACAACCAGATTTCCACTGACATCAGGTAGTGGCCTTTTTTGTACTAAGGGATAAAGAAATAGTGTAATTCTTTTACTGTTGTACTACAACAGAAAGCTACATCATACAACCTAATGCCTCTTGCACTAAAATTAATAATAATCATGCTTTTCCTGCAAGCAGGCCTACGACCAAATTATCTCATTAAGAAGAAAGCAATAAAATTTCAAATTAGATCACCTTTATCAAAGCCAATTTTCAAAGCAGTACAGTTGAGTTTTGTCAAAACACTGTAACAGGAATGGTTCCAATATGAAAAAGACCCATTAAATTAAATAGCACAGTATTGGCAAACATTGTAAAAAACAACAACAAAATTATTAAAACATTTTTAAAAATTTTACCAGAAGTGGATGCTTTGATGTTTATTAGCCTGGCACAATATGCTTCAGGAGAAGTCTTTGTGACTAGCAGGTTTTTCTTGTCTACTTGTTATAAAACTCAGTGCATTTAATTTAGTATCTCAGAATTATATAATTGCTTTAATTTGAGGATCTAAAGGTGCTTCGCAGAACTTAACAGATTAAATAAAGTCCACACAAGTAGCACATTGAATACCACTGGAAAAAAAAGTAATCTATTGAATATATAGTATTAAATACTCTGATGTCCAAGAATCCCCTAGAAATCAACAGAAACCTGAATGTTTCTATACATCAAACTCAAGACTCTCAATACGATCTCTAGCTAGGAAGAGAATTCCTAATGTAAAAGATCAGCAGCCAGTCATCAGTGTTTACATAGGGCACAAGTAATCACCTTACACAGAAATAACTACTACTCTATGCTTTTGAGTCATCCCAAACTAGAACGCTGATGTTTCTGGCATATGGCATCGACTGGGCAGCCTGCAAGTGCTACCTTGGAGGTATAGGCTAGGTCCAAGTCAGGTGATGCCTTTAGTGAAGCAGGTTTAAGCTCTAAGCTGTTCAGCAGATAATAACTCTTAGCACACAGCTGACAGCACTTCCTGTCCCTGTATGTCACTTCATCTGTGTCCTTTGTCCGCAACTTTAATAAGCATGTAACACTACAGCTTCATTGTGAACTATATGTATTTTCTAGAAAAAGCTATTGTGGAATCATGGAAACATCATTTTTTCATTACATTTAACCACCATGCAACCAGCTTTCTGTAAATATTTCCAGCACTATAAGCATTTGAAATAGAAAATAATTGTCTACTGTGGCAGTCTCAGTTCCTCTTTTCTTCTACTCCAGACTGCCTGCTGCTATTCCTACCATCAAAACCTACTGAACATTTTTAAATTGTATTTTCAATACATTTACTCCTGGTTCTTTTTAAAGTTCCAGTTTTTAAAGGCCTTCTCAGTTCAGTATAAATACAGCTTAGTAAAAAATACTAAATCTATTCTTAATGTACTGATTGGCCTTATTTTAGCCATAGCAATGCCTAGAGATGCATGTTGTGTTTTTAATGGTAACTTGTAGGGAAAGAAGTCTGTAAACATAACTCCTTTTTTGTTTCCAAAAGCCCTATAAAAACTGGTTTGCAGCAGTCTCATCACAAGAAATTAAGTGACGGGGGGGGGGGGGAACAATTAAGGAAAGGAAACATTTTAGAAGGTGTTTACATGAATTTATCTCTCTTCAGATTTGTTACTGATGTAACAGAGGGCTCAAGGAAACTTACTACAAGATGGAGAAAATCTCACAAGGTCTTCCGAATAGCCAGTACTACTGAGCTGCACAGGAGTCTGCCTTGTTCACTGGCCTCCCCTTCTCTTCCTGTTATAGGGAACCTCCTCTGCCCTCAGCTTAGTAGAAATCAAACATTACCTCTGCTCCCAGTACAAAGACCATGCCTCTTTCCTCCTTTGGGTAAGTTTACATGGAAACTTAATGGGTATGGTATAATAAATAGCTTCCTTTCTTGCTGTGATACTTTTAAAAATTAAGAAAGATCAACTGGAGAGGCAACAGACTCTCCCATGTAAAGAAGGGAATGAAATAAAATGCCTTGTTCTTCAGAGCTGCAATGGAAAGCATGGTCAAAAGTATGAATAAATGGGGAAGCAGGCTAGGTAAAAGCAAGGTGAAAGAGCAATGTATTTGGATCTTCAGTTAAATCTTTAAACTTAATTTTACTGTTTGGATACACAGCATTTAACTCTGAAAAATTCCAAACCTACTAAGAACTAGAACACATAGTTGTGCTTGGATCTGGTTAAAGGAATGGGTAATACAAGGAGGAACATAGGAAAGAACCATATGGGACAGCTGGAAGTATGTTAATTGCAGAGCCTTATACTCAGGCAATTGGGATTCCAGAAGTTCCACAATTCTTTCCTGTTGGGGGGTGAGGCACTGGAATGGATTGCCCAGGGAGGCTGTGAATGCTCCATCCCTGGCAGTGTTCAAGACCAGGTTGGACGAGGCCTTGGGTGATATGGCTTAGTGTGAGGTGTCCCTGCCCATGGCAGGGGGGATGGAACTTGATGATCTTAAGGTCCTTTCCAACCCTAACTATTCTATGATTCTAAGTTCAGTGTAAAGTAAGTTTTGTAGAAAACTATTATGAGAAGGAAAACTAGAGCAAACAGCTGTCTTGGCAGCTTATACATCTGCATTTACAGAGAAGAAACCACATCTTCAATACCTGAATAGTTCCTGTATATAGGATGACTAAGACACAGGGCATTTTCACAGCATCAGAGTAGATAGGAACTGATGAAGATTTTATGCACAGTTTAGACAGAAGGTATGGTTTTTAATATACTACTGCCTGATGATAATTCTGAGATTTCACACACTGAAAACAATGGGACTAATAAAAGGCTTTTGTAACAAGAGAACCATTATATCTATGGCAACAGTAACTTGAATGAAGGAGTTGTTATCAGTGGTTAGAGACTTGGGGAGAAAAAGATACAGATACATATACAGGATCTTAAGTAACAACGTGATTCAATATGGGTACACAGGAGGCTGGACAAAAGTTTGAAGAGAAGCATAAAAGTGTAAGTATAAGACAACTGAAAACAGTGCAACATATTTGGATGGTTTTCACACATAGCATGTTTTCACATTCCAAATGTTGGCATTTGTAACAATTTTAGTTTATACCACATACTGGGGATGTGCATGGTATCACAATTATCCTCAAAGAGAAGAGTTTAAGGCAGATGTAAATGAGACACTGACTTTGCTAGAGGAGATGAATGAGATAAAAGGAATCAGTAGCAAAGTTCAGTTGGCACGTTAGGAATTCAGTGAGGGGCCGAGCAGTTCCTCTCTGTCCTGGTTTAGGCTGGATAGTTAATTTCCTTCCTAGTAGCTGGTGCAGTGCTGTGTCTTGGCTTCAGCCTGAGAACAATGCTGATAACACACCAGTGTTTTAGTTGTTGCCAAGTAGCACTTATCCTAATGAAGGGCTTTTCAGTCTCTCATGCTTTGCCAGTGAGGAGGGGCACAAGAAGCTGGAAGGGAGCAAAGATGGGACACCTGACACAAACTAGCCAAAGAAGTATTCCATTCCATACACTTGGTATATAAACTGGGGGCGGGGGGGAGGCTGGCTAGGAAATGCTGATTGCTGCTCAGCAATGGGCTGGACATTGGTCAGCAAATGGTGAGCAATTGCATTGTGTATCACTGTGGTTTGGTTTGTTGGTTGTTTTTTCTTTTATTTTTTCTCTCTCTTTTTAGTTATCTCACTTTTCATTGTTTTTATTAGTATTATATTGTACTTTAATTATTAAACTGTTCTTATCTCAATCCACAGGTTTCACCTTTTTTTTCCAATTCTCCTCGCCATCCACTGGTGGGGGGGGGGGGGGGGGGGTGCGGGGGGCAAATGGCTGATAGTACTTTGCTGCCAACTGGGATTAAACCACGACAGTCCTTTTTGGCACCTGAACAGGGACGTGATGGGTTGAGATAACAACAGATCTGAGCGGTATGTGTTGAAGCAAATTTGTTATAAACATTCATTTTTTTTTGGTTTAGTAGTTCCTGTCAGAGTGTTGATTTATTTGCTCTTGGAGTTGTTGCATGTATTCTCAGAACTGCATTGTGTCACACCTTACTTGCAGCCTGCATTCACTGTTTTGGTGTTTACCACCCATGGGGCCTGGGCTAAGGTTCTCATTTTGTTGTACTTTATAATATTGGCTTGTGATATGATAGACTTGCTGGTCATGAAACTAATCGGGTACATGTACTCAGCATTGCCATCTCCTCTATACTTTGGGAGCCATGTAATGGGAATTATTATTAATTATACCTCTTGCCTTTTCTCCTTGGAGGGCCAACCTATAGAAGAGACATCCTGCCACACTTTCCCCTTCCCCACCAGGCTACTTACAGCAGTGTTTGAGAATTTTGAAAATTCTGAATATTCTTGGGATGTTGAAACCAGCATGGTCCTACTGCCAAGAATCAGCATGTTGCTGAATGTGTTTCAGGTCTTGTTTAAGGTTAAACAACTACTTAAAAATACCACCCAGAGATCAGTCCCAGGGCTGGATAGTTCTGAGTGGCAGGGTGAGTGGGATAGTATAGGTAAGTACCTAGGCCAGTGGGCACCTCCAGTATTTTGTAACTTCACCCCTGAACAAGTGCAGTCAGTTGTGGAAAAACTGGTGTTAAAAAACTGTTGCAAGAGTTCCAACAACAAAAACACCTGTATAGACCAGCATCTCAGCTATTAACAGTAAGCATTCTTCTGCTCAAAGGAGAGGATATAGAAGGCACACACCACAGGGTACCCTGTGGTTTTATCTGAGGAGCACATGAGGAAGTGGCATGGAAAATCCACCTCAGCCCTAGAGGCAGAGGTACATAAATCCCAAAGAAAAACAATCACAAAACTGATGTTCTCCCAAGAAAATTGCTGTTCCAGTTTCCAAAGGGCAGTTTCCCAGTCAGAGTGAGAGGGCTGATCTTACCCCTGACCCTGTGGTAAATAATTCTAATCTGCTTTTACAAGAAATAATTAGAGAATTCTCTGACCAGCACTAGAAGGGGCCCTGTCCCCAGAGAGGTGGAGGAGAAGGATAACCGGGTTTAACTGGACTGCGTGGATCAGAGGACCTGGCACGTCACAGTGACAGGAATACAAGGCTCTAGTAGACATCAGTGCACAGTGTATACTGATGTCATCAAGCTGTCAAGTGGCAGAACCCATTTGTATTTCTGGAGTGACAGGAGGATCCCAAGACCTGACTGTACTGGTAATAGCAGGAATCATTCTGCCATGGACTTGCTATGTAGACCAAAACTTCTAGGTTATACAAAAAGCAGCTAAAAATGTGCCTGACTGACATTAAAAAAAAAAAAAATTATCTTCAACTTCCTAATTCCTGTTCGGTGGGGGGGGGGGGGGGGGGGCTATAAAAAACTATGATAAGAAGAGATATTTTCGTGACACTGGCATCTAGGAGTCCCTGAATAGGATTCAGGTGTACACCATGCCCATGAATTCCACACTAGTCAGTTCATGTGGTCTATTTTGACAGTGGTTTAAGGCTTCTACCAGAAAACAAATTTTATGAACAGGAAATCAGTTGTTATACAATTTATACTCAAGCTTTAGGCAGCAGATTGAAACTTTAGCATCATATGCTATCCAGACAGATTTGGCAAAGCGGACAGGACAAATACAGCTGTAAAAAAACCAAAACGCATTATCAGAAGCAAAACAGCTGAAATTAAATGCTTTCCATCTATTATAAGTCCATTAGAACAATGAGTGAACTAACTGAATAAATCAACTTGCTGTAGTGCAGCAGCTCCTAATAAAATTTCAGGATGGCAAAACTAAAACTATTTAACACAAAAAGTGATTTCACAGAGCACAGAAAGGACACAGATCAGTGCTTCTTACAGAATAGACAACTTACAGTCTGGAATGAAAGGTTGTAATATTATCCCTTCCTTATACTTGAAATAACTTAAAAATAAGATATGTTACAGGTATATAAAAGTCAACCGAAAATTCATCCAGGACATCCACTATCAATTAACAACAACTACTATCACGTACTTTGTTTCTCATTTGTTTCATGAATGTGACCTATGATATTGTAATCACTTGTGCTACGTTATGGACTTCTTGCAAATTATGCAAACTCCTGTACCATCTCCTGCCCTTAACCATGGAATTCATACAGCTGGTACCATTCCCCAGCTGAAAATGTACTGGTAATTTGTCAATTCAGTAGACCCAGAGCTACTAAGCCTCTCTGGTAATGACAATCTCTTACAATTACTAAATCTCTTCTGTATGGAGTGCACGTTGCTTGTATAAGGACTTGTTTCCTCCTCCACACAAATCAGGAGAACACAAAAGGAATGGGCTCAAAAGGCCTTTTATCAGTTGTCTCACAGTTTGGTAAAGTTTTGCCGAAGTTAATAGCTAGCTGACATTAAGACAAAGAATCACTCAGTTTTTACTCTAAGTAATGTTACCACACATGAAAATTACGTGAGAGTAATACTGAAAGGGTGCAGACTGTTACTTAAACTAGTAGCTGTAATAGAGAACTATGCAGAATTCCACTAAAATGCTATTATTGCTCTTAAACCTCTCAAGTATTAGCTGCTGTGCTGTTAGTAGAACTTTATTGCAGTAGTTAAGGTTTACAGAGTCATTATCTTTAAACATTTACCAATTCAGATTCTCCTTCCAAGAACATTACTTTCCCAGCGTCAAAGCCTGTACATATTTGCTGATTCATGCTTTTGGTCTGAAACAGAGGAAATTGAACAAGTTAAAACATTCCAGAATATTCCAGTAACCACGTCTGAATAAAAATGTTTAGCTATGCATATATCAGTCTCACATGAGACACAACACGAGGTATAGATAAAAATACTGAAGAAATTCAGACAACTAATGAAATCTATCTAATACCAGAAGTAATGACAGAAGATTAAAAGTCAGCTGATGAATGCAAACAAGCTGATGTCTAAATGCAGGTATGGCTGGCAAGAAGGGTGCCTGAAGACAGATGGAAAGTGTTTTAAGGAAGTTATATTATTCAGAGCAAACCAGGTTCTTACATGAATACTGTTACTGCATCCACTGACTTCTACCTTTACTATTCACTGTATTTTTAATAGGCATGTTTAATATAGGCTGACATGTAAGTACCCAGAGTTAGGATATGCACAGATTCGGCATTTATTTCAGGGTTGGCTTTTAGTACTTGTTCTGATGCTCCTTGTGATACACGAAATTATTCTGAGATGTTTCCCAACTTGAGCCATTCTGTAATTGTTTCCTGCATGTAAAACGAGTACTGCATAGCAATGTGGAAAGGATGTTGGGAACTGCTTCTACCAGACTAAGTAAAAACATACTGATATTTAGCAAGTATGGATGACAGCGAGGAATTACCACACCGTCAACTGAAATGAAGAGTCTGATCAGCTAAAAAATGAAGAAAGACTTCAAGGTCATAATTGAACTGATCACAGAATGTGAAAACGAAGAGGGCGAGCCCACATCAACAATAACATTTGATTTACAGCTCTAACAAAACACAGAAGTAGAGATCACCTGCTATCAACTTCTGCATGATTGGCATGTTCACATTCGAAACAGCTATCATGCACACTGGCTGCAAGGCTCTTCTGCATCATGAGTTTCTGAAAGAGGTTTTTTTTTTCTAGTACTAGGACTATCAGACCTATTACTGAAAGTGACCATTTTAAAGAGGTGGCCTTTCAGCAAAGCAGCAACACACAGGTTGTATCTGAAGTGTCTGTTGTGACATTTTAAATTGTACATGAGACGGTGCAGAGAAAAGGGCACCAAAAACAAACAAACAAAACCAATCCCCAACTTTGAAATCTGATCAAGAACAAATAAATCACAATTATTAAATACTAAACAATTGGTAGTGTATTAAAAGTAACAAATCTGTAGACAGTGTCACCACCGGTTAGAAACAACTCTCTTACACTGCATCGGGTCAATCGTAAAAAGTCACACTCCGCTGTCATTAGAGTTCAGCGGCTAGAGACAGAAATTCTACTAGTAAGCCCATGTTCTGTAACATAGCTGAGGCAAACGAAGAGCATTGTGGAAGCTTGATCCTGGACATGGAGATCATAATGTCAAAGACTGCTAGACTCATAGATACAAAGAAGCTAGGTGACAATGCCATATATTCTACTTTTCCTCTGCAGGCAGAAAGTGACACAAGAGGCCTTCAGGGTAGTGATCAGAAAGCTGAAAACTCTGAGAAAAATGATTTTATAAAAACTGACATGGGTACAAAAATGTTTCATTATTATACCCAGTAGATGTTCTATCTTCATTACTAAATTAATTTAAACAAACTTTTAGTATATGCAGGTAAATCCCAAATAAGCACATGAAGCTAAGCCTTTATACAGAGGTACGTATTACAGTTGACTTGATTTTAGCATCTTTTGTTCTCTCCAAGGAGGCTGTGTGAAAAGAAACGTTTTTTGCATTTCTATCAGGTTTCCATAACTGGAAGTTTCTTTCATGGGAGTTCATTTAAAATGTTCAGCTAGCTATATACCAGAGTTTCTCATTGTTAATAACCTGACTTTCATTATACTTTTATGTAAATAGGTTGCCATATTTTACAGACAAGCAACTAAAATCTAGAAAAATCACTCCTGTTAAAAATGTCAGGAGTGCACAATTGAAATACGTGGACTATGGCTGTTTGTGTTATTTTTAGTAAGTGCAATTTTTATAGCACTTAGTACATTCCAAGTACAGCTCTATCTAACCTGCAAATTCCCAAGATGGTAAGAGGTGCCTTACACACTGCATTGTACCAAAAAAATACCCAAAACCAAACAGAAAAAAAAAAAAAAAAAAGAAATAAAAAGGAAGAAATGCTTCACAGTCCCCTTCTGGTTAAGATAAGTGAATTTTTGGTTAATATGAACTCTACTAAAAATTACACTTTTATGTTGTCATGGGCACAAGAACTACATTCACCATTCTTCATGAGCACCTGCCTCTTCTGGAAGACCAGACTTTTTCCCTTCTGTTCACTTCTGCTCAGTGGAAGACCAAATTCATTCCAGACTGGGGCAAAGTCTGAGCTCAAAAAACAGTTTTGCCTGTGGATGACACACAGAATGCTGTTCTTTACCTGTTCTTCAGTGAGTTTCATGTGAACCTTGTGATGGCTAAGGCATTATTATCTGTAATTAGAAAGAAATCCAACCATAATTCCAAAATTTAAGGTAATACCCACATATACCCAGATGGGAGGGAGGAAGGTGAGTTTAGCTCATGCATGGCTGCTGCTCAACCTTCCCCACATAACTATCAGAAGCTTTGGCTATATAACAGCATGTGTACACACACGTAAGTAATGTAACAGACTGCTATTAGGTTAGGTGGCATTTTAAAGAGTGTATTAATAATGTCAAAAATTAAAGAGAGAACTTTGTATTTTACCTTGGATTTACCAGCCATAAATCTTCACAGGCAGCTTCATGCCGGGCTCCGTTGCCTTACCCAGTGCCCCATAGAACAGTCCAGCCACTAGTAAGCCACCTTATGCTCCCATGTGCTTATAACCATAAAGTTCTAATGGTTTCTTTCACCTGGCGTTCTGACGCCACCACCAGCAGGGCCCGGGCTGTCCCCTTCCCCTCACGGACCCCGACTGCCCGCCCCAGGACCGGACGCTCACACCGCAGCCCCTGCGCCGCCAAGCCGCCGTGCGCGGGAAAGTGGGGCGGGCCACGTGACTGGGCGCTGACGGCGGGTCGAGGCGATGCGTGCGGAGCGGGGAGCCATGGCGGCCGCGCAGTGGGAATTCCGCGTCGTGGCGGGGGGATACGAGGACGACGACAGCGACAGCGACGAGGACGGCTGGGATATCGGCGTAGTGCGGCAGGAGCCGCTGGTGAGGCCAGCTGGGGCGAGCTGGGGTCTGCGGCGGGGAGGGCGCGGAGCCGGGGGAGTGCGGCCTCATGCCGCAGTAAGAGCATGGGGCTCGGTGGGTCTCACTGAGGAGGGCTGCGGCAGGTGACCATTGTGTGGTTATTTCCCAGCAGGGGAGTGGTGGTCTGCCCTCAATACAGGAGTACAGAAAACCTCTACTAGCAGCCCACACCCACCCACCCCTCCCCACACTAAAGTTTTGGAGGGTGTCTTCCTGCATAAAACCTTAATGTGTATATAAAACACTTCTTAACAACAGACCCAGCCCTTATCTCATTGTGAGAATAAATTTGAAAGCAATCAGGGGCTTCTAAAGCTGTTTAAAAACTGTGAGACTGTTTGCTGCTAACGTGAAGATTGAAGTGGTTTTGTTGCATCTCACGAGTGTGAGGCATGTGGTGGTGTGAGGTGGAGGCAGATCTGCAAGGCCTGTTGGCCCTTGGTTTGTCTTGTGGCTGGAACTGGAGAATGGAAGTAGCTCAATATTTGCTGAAGGTTATAGTAAGGTTTTCAGGTTTTTGATCTTTGAACTGAGGTGTCTCTTCAGAGATATGCGTTATTTGGAAATTGTTGGCTGAGTAGGACAATTGGGCTAAATTATGATATTGGTTGTGTCTCAACCTTTTTTTTTTTTTCCAGACACTAAGCACTGAGTAAAACCTTTACAAAAAATGTTGGAAAGAAAGACTGCAGTGTGCTGGGGAAAACTGTAATTCTCAGTTCTCATGACGTCAAAACCTGTTGTGAAATAGGACTTTTTGCCGTACCCACTTATGTCTGCAAAGAAATTAGTGAATAGTTTTCCACTTACAGGTTTTGTATAATCTAGATAACACCAGTAGTGATCTTCAGCTGCATCTGTAGCTTTGATAGAGACCGAGTCTGTGATGGTTTTGAAAGAAACTTGAGTCAGACAACTGTCTGATGCATAAACTAGTCCTTTGGTCAGGGAATTTTTGAGCCAAATCATTAATAATGCAACAGCACAAATACCTCTGCCACAACAGGAGTGGCAGGAAAGAGGAACAGTAACCTTTTCCAGCTGTGAATTGGTGCTGTATTAAGCCAGACAACTAGTCACAGAGCTACATTGTCCCAGACTCTTTGTATCTGATAGATATATGTTCTAATGCTGTGATTCCAACATGTGAAATGTACAAAAAAGTTACAGAAATCTGTTGTAAAGTTTTTCTACACGAAAAGATGAAAAATAACTGAAATTAAACATCATTAAGAAAAACTGAGAGCAGCATAGGAAGATAGTAGGTATGTTGAGAAAGAAGGTATTTTCAAGAATGGAACCTTTCTGAAAAGTCAGATTTAAAACTGTTTTACAGTAGACCCATAGCAGGTGTACAGAGATGTAAGATTAAAAGTTCTGCCTTGCTCCTCGCTCCCCCTTCTCTGCTTTGTCTTTACAGAGGTCATTGGTGCTTTTATACTGAAATCAAGCTTCAGTTTTTACCTTAACACAGGTACTGGGTTTTGACATAATTTTTCTTTGCTTATCTAGCAGTTGGATCAAATGTTGCAGGCAGACAAGAATGAAGCATTAAGGAAGGCTGTGTTTCATGGTGATGTGTCATTAATTGAAGAACTCTTAAACTCTGGTAAGAAAAGTCAGTTATGAAGTTGAATTTTTTAATTTTTAATTAAACTTGGCAAGAATTCTAAAGCTTCAGGAGTTTCTTGTTTCAAAGTAACATGTAGAGTGCATGTAGGAGTATGTGAATGTTTCCAATACAGGATAGAGACTCTTACTTTAAAAATCAAATTACTTTTTCAGTGACTCAGCATCCAGTATTCTAGCAAAGCCCTTCTAATTTCTATTTCTTTTGTCAAACAGGAGCACTGAAAATTGATAAAACTGTAGCCTGTGAACTGTGAAATAAGGTGTTTCTTTGTTTTCAGATGCATCTTTAACTTGAAAATAACAAACAATTTGAGGTGGTTTAAATTGAGAGTGAGAATTCAGTGGGTGGTTTTACGTTAATGTTGAAGGTTGCTGGGGGAGAAGTTGGCAGGAAGGGGATGCTGGCTTTTTTCCTTATAATGTTCCCCCAGTTTGGAAATTCCATTTTTGTATTTTTCTCAGTCACAGCACTGTTAAGTTTCTGGTATGCACCCTGTATAATACTGCTGTCCTGGCAACATCAGCTGGACAATGATTGTGTGTTTCTGAAAGGTCTGATAGGGTTTATGTGGCATTTGTCACTAAAAAGTAGTTTGTCTTAAAACTAAAAGCCTTTCTCCCTATTCTGTTTCTCAGTAATTGTGTGTAATGTGTTTCTGTTATTCAGTGTTAGGAGGATTGGATCACTTATTGAAGCATCCAGGGCAATCAGAAACTGCATAGCTGAGTTGACCTGCCTAGTGATAATTGTCAGGAAGTTCTGCTTGAGCAAGCAAGCAGAATATTGTAACCAAGAGCTTGTTCTCTGAGGAAAATCTGTCTTATGGCAGGAAGAAAATAGTTTCCTAGTTAGCAGTGTGTTTCTCTGAGATAAACCGATGGCATTCCTTGCCCTTTTAGAAGATGACTGTTTCTCACCACAGTGGAGGAATGATTTTAAGTTAAATAAAAGCTGAAACACAGAAGTGAAATACAGAGTGAAATACATCTTCTGTCTTTCTTTGGGAAAATATGATCTTATTTATAGAGTTTTTTGCAATATCTGTGCGTCAAATTCCATAATTGTTTTGCTCTTGCCATCCATATTTAATTGCTGGCATTACAGCCCAACAGCAATAGTTCGCTTTCCGTATTGATGCCTGTTACATACTGAGCAGTTGTATGCCATGGGAAGATGGTGATAGGTATCTGTAAGAGTGTAAGGTCAGGCCAGAGGTTCCTGTAGTCTGTGTCCTGTCTCCTGAAATGCACATGACAGTATCACAAAGAGAATCTGTCATTTCCTGAAAATAGGACTACCAGTAAATTTTGAATCATGCAGTACTGTCCTGCAAAGCGGTAGAACACAACGCCTCTAACAGGGAGGTGTTTCTGAAGAAAGGTAACATTGTCCTTCAGAAGACTTATGCTCAGTCAGATTAAATCTTTGCTTCCAAAGTTGCCTTTAGTGTATGTTCAGTAGAGCTTGCAGGAGGCTTGCTGCCACCACTCAACCAAACTCAGTTTGTGTTGGAAGCATATTTCCTAGCAACAATTGGGTCCATTCTTTCAGATAGAGTGTGAACATGTTGTCTTCTGGCTTGCTTAGATACTGCTTTAAGAATCTGGTGCTGAGGCAGTTTTACAGAGCTCCTTTAGGGGATGGACAAGCACAATGTCTTCTCTTATCCCTCCTATAAAATGGCAACATACTAAGAACAATTTTCTAAAGTATGTGTCACATAAAGTAATGCAAGCAAGTAACAGATTCAGATAGGACTTGGGTTTATTGGTCTGCTTTGGGAGTAAAATACTTAAAACCGTATAATTCATAAATTTGTTTTCCTCATATAGAATTAAAAATTACGACCTTATGACAGTTTAGGCTGATCAAAGATGTAGCTACATTGCAATCCTCTTGTTTTCATTCAGCCATTCAGCAGTCTGTGCTGCTCTTATCCTTGCATGAGTGCTAGAGCTCATCTGATCTGTTGTGAGCCGGTTCAAGGAATTAAAGTAGTAGTAAACTGAGGTGGGTGTGAGTAATTTTTTCAGCCAGTTTAGGACTCTGAACCCTGAGTCAGGTGAGAACCATAGCTGGCCTAGCAGTGGGAGACATCAGCAGCTTTGATTTAACTCAGAAATCAGTATATCTGTTAGAGAGAAGTCTTGTAGACAAAAGGATTTTACGACTTTTCCCTCAGGTAAATTGGGTCTGAATGTGAATGAATTATAATACTAAGAGCTGTTCTTAAACTTAAGAGTTTTGAGACTTCTTTTGTTTTGATGTCAAACATTAAATTATTTAGCGTAAAGAGCTGTATGTAGAGGTTGCTTGTAATTCTTCAGGCATTCCCTTGATAACCTTTCTGAACTTGAGGTTACATTTTTCTCTATAAAAACAGCCTTTCTACCATAACTGTTTTTAGCTACAGTCAACAAAATATCTGAAAGAGATACCAGAGAAACTGTAGTAATCATAGAAAGAATGTAATTCTTCCTTTGTTTTTCTTTTGCTTCATTTATTCACATGCTTCATATAGTTTCTGCTGTAGAGCTCATCTGGGGCCACAGTATATTTCTCCCTATTGCTGATTAAAGAGGAGGATATTTATGTGTAACTCAGATTGTAAGAAATAATGTTCCATCCACTTTGCTGCCCAGACATAATTTGTGAGGATATGTGACTGAAAAGCTCCTCTGCTGATGCCCACAACAGTGCACAGTGAGATAATGGCAGGTGGGGGAGCTCAGATACCCTGGCTCCGCTCTTCCATTGCCCATCGTGGAAACCATCAGCCCATTACAAGCCATTCTCCACAAGCCCAGAGAGGCAGAGAAGCCTGAGGGTGGGCAGGAACACACATTACGGAGTCAGAGGAAGGGACCCCGGGCTGTCGTGGGGTCCTTTGTGCCTGGGTGCCAGCGACTGTAAAGACAGGAGTGAAAGGACGTGCCAGCTGTAGGAGTGGGACTGGGGCTCGGAGGCCTGTGTGTCTGCGATGCCAGCAGCTGGAAGAGATAGACGTATCCCAAAGGGGAGTAGTATGAAACCATTGCTGCTGTGTGAGTTCATATGAGTGCTATGTCTGTGTTGATCGGTGTGGCCGGTG